TTTCCTCTCAACCCACCTTTTTACTGCAAACAAAAAGCATACGTGTTTAACATTTCACTGCTGGGCAGTGTTACACATACTTTGCAAAAGAGCTAGGTAATCTAAAACCAAATAAAAAAACAGCATCCTGAAGAAAGAGTGACTTCCTGAATGCCATTGTGTACAGTTTTTATTTTTTTTTAATTCAAAAGAAAAACAGAATGCACCATATGCACCAAAATATCACCTTACCTTTTGAGAAGCAATCCCGAAATATATGAAGAATTCAGTTTAAGCCACTTTTCACAATGGCATGAAACACAAACACGGGACTGCCTGATGTAGAAAAACATTTTTCTAAACCAAATATTTAGATGAAGAAGAGTACTGGGCCTGTAATATGTATCTATCTGTTAATTAGCAACTATATGAGCTCATGCTGCTTACAGCTGGAACAAATCCCCCACAGCATTCTCAGGAAAATCATTGGACTATTCAGAGCCTTCTTCATAGGGCAAACATACACGTCTAGAATTCTCTTTATCCAAACACATCTCCAAAATCTTAATTTTATTTTCAGCATAGTCTAAGTACATAACTTGGAAAGTATAATAGTATTTCAAAGAACTTTTAAGGCATTTAAAGCATGACTTTATTCAGCAAAACTTTAAAACATATTTACAACCTCAGTATTTTGATCAATTTCACAGTATTACTGGCAGAAATTTTATAAAATTGATTTTACAAGGCAGATTATTCAGTATCTAATCAGTTAAAATTTTATACAACTAGATCTTCAGTTTATGTATGGACAAAAAAAACCCCACTTTTTAGAAGTGGTTACAAAGTTGCCATTAGAGAAATATAGAATGCAAAGAATACAATTTCTTACACAGTAGTTTTCACTTAATAAAGCATATTTAATGGAATAGAAATATAAGAAAAATAGGATAATTTCTGCAACTATTGTCAACAAATGAAAATAGATGAGTAATGAAGCCTTCATATTGACCATAAAAGTTGTAAATTTGCAGCAATTTTCTCTTTATTGCTAGCTTTTCTGTTATTGTTTCGTTCTGGATCTTACCAAAGAAGCTACTAGAACAGATAAACCGGAAAATTAAATAGCATCTAAAATCATTAAGAATGATTAAAAAATTTCACTATATGCATTCCTTTTGCCTGTGTGCCTGTTTCCTTCTCTTAGTCATTATCAAATATATTTAATTCTCACTTGAGAATTCATTCATGCCTACTGCCCATTTCCTACTAGAGTTTGTGTTTGCTACTAAATATTTTTTATCACAATCAAATATGTCCAAAACCTTGCAGTCCAACTGCACTCCTTGTCAATACTTTGTGATCCCATTTCTATCATTATGTTATCACTGTGACATAAGGTCCCTTGCCAACTTTGTCAGAGTTTACTAGGATTATAGCTGCAAAACTTCAAGGTGGAAAGTCTATACGAAAAAGGGGTAACATAAGAGCTCTTTAAAAAACTTCTAGCACTAATGGCCTTATGATGTATGTGTGGAAAACAAAACAAAGTAAAATGCCACATATACGGACATTCTCCAGCTCAAGAACTTTTGAATCTGAGCTCTTTCTATGGCCTTTTCCTTTTTTTTTTCCTGTGTTAAAGAACACCCTGAACGTCTCCTCCTCCTTAGCCAGTTTTCGTAGAATCCTTATGGCTACTAATGAGGGAAGGTAGTGTTTCCTTGAGTACAGTTATCAAAATCCAAAACCCTAAATTATAGGACATCCATATAAATGTCATTGTTAAATTTATATTTGCTGGTAATGAGGTCCTTAAAGTGATATTTAATCAATAGAGCTTACTCTTATTATGTGAGATTCAGGTTCCAACCTGTTTTTGTACTAAACAAGCTTTGGACTGATGAAAAGTATCAGCGACCTTTTCCTGTATGCTTGTTTTCCAGTTACGCCAATGATACCTTTGTTTCTCCAACTAGTTACAGTAGTTCAATTCTATAGAATTATCACCCATATATACACAAAAGTTATCAATGCTCCTTAGAGTTCTTAAAAGAGCACAGGCAAACCAAGGTGTTTAAAGCATAAGTGTATTATTCGATATTTATCACATTCCCTGTTTCAAAATAGTTTGTGCTATCAAGCAATATGTTTGTTTGTGTACTGTCAGATTCTTCAGCAAAGCCCCATTTAGCAAAGAACAAAGAAGGAAACATTGGCATAATTTTTTCATCACACTTTATCACCACAAAGTTTGGTGGGAGCTCAGTATAATAAGTGATTAATATTGACAATGTTTGATGGCTTTGGCTTTGGAAAAATAATGCAGGGATCAAGAATTTTATTAGTAAGAAATCTTAAACATGCACATATCAGAGGAATTAATCATTGATTCCCTGTAGACTGCTTATATATTTCATCAGACTATTATCTGATCTGAATAACAAGAACAATTGCCTAATAAACCACATTACTGCTGACACATGCAACTTTGCTATATCAATTATATATTTGCACAGCAATAGGTGTTTTGAAAGTCCTCTCTTGTTTCTTCTGAATCAGATTGACCCAATTTGACATTTGCCTATGCCAACAACTCAAAATTGTACCTGAATATATAATCAAGTACAATATGTGTCACTCTTAATTGCCATGATTCAATGGCACAGATCATTTCCCATAGTAGTAATTACAGCAAAAGTGGAATGTATTTTGAGTAATTTTTCATATAGATTCTAAAGTATTGCCACAACATATCCTATATTAAAGAAAATGCCAAAGACAAATTATGAAGACTGTTCTCCAAACTAATAAAGACATTGAGTATGTAGAGATTTGAGCTAAACTAGACAACATAGATCCTGTCTGGTTAGTCATATATATATATATATATATATTTTAATTTTTTTTTTCTAATAGATACACTGTTAGACATTCAACATTGCTGCATGTTTAGGGCCACCTAGCAGAACTGAAAGCTTAGCCTAATAAACTTCACTGCATGCAGTCTCAAAACAGTTCATGCAAATTAGCTGGATATATTATTTTAATGTTCTTCCACAGGGAGTACAATACAGCAATGAGCCATGTCAAATGTTACTAAGTCATTTGAAAAAGTGAGTAAAAAGCTTCTTTTTTAACTGAAAGGTAAATTCATAGTACTAAAACACTATCAGTAGGATTCCTTACTAAGTCAGAAAATGTGTTATCCTTTAATTAAAAGTTCACGAGTTCATGGGGTATTTTTCCTGTCATAAATGGTAATTACCAAAAGACTACTTTATTGCAATATGAAAGGCACCCTGTTTCACTGTCTAAGAACTTGTACCCTATGCTTTGTAATTCCTTCCTAGCTCTAAGATTATGAATACCTGAAAGCAACTCTGAATGTCATCCATCTGCTACTGCAGATTTAGTCTTCCCTGCTTGTGTCACATTAATTTCCTAAGTAAATTTTGCTAGTTTTCTTTACTGTTGTGACATAAACTAATTTCTTTGCTTTAGGAAAAAATGCATTTGATTTGACCCTGATAAACTTTCACTCCTAGTGACATTTATTAGTTGTGACTGATTTTAAATTACACCTAAAAATGCAACATGAATTTCACATTTCAAAGTTTAATAAAATGCATTTGTAAGTTCATGTTTAATGGTTTCTAAAAGCACTAGTTTATTTGGATTAGGTGAACAGTATATAAGACATTTGAGTTGTATTGTTTATTTAGAGTAGCCACTTATTATTGTGAATTTGTACTGTAAAATAACCCAAATTTGCCAAGAATTTGTAAAGATATAATTTTAATTTATTCTAATTCAAATCCACATTGTCCCTACAATGGATACAACACATGAAGAATTTAAATCCAAGTCCATTTGGCCGGAATAGAGAAAAAACGCTGAAATGCTATTGATTCCTTCCAGTACATTCAAAAATACCTGACTCAACTGTATTTCTACTGACATAACACTGAGGTTTTATTTAGATATTAGCAAACATGAGCAAACATTTTCATTTCCATACCTGTCATTGTTATTTTTTTTCTCTACCTAGGAAACAGTTAACCTCAACTACTAATACTGGCTGTTTCCTTTAGCAGAAAGCAGCAAATGTCAGTAACCAGTCCACTGTCCCAAGAGAAATAATGCCTGCAAAAGTTCTCTTTCCCAGATGCAGATATATTTAGTGCTGAACAACACCTAACAGCAGACACTTCATGACATACATTTATATGATCTTCATGCCTTCTGTTAACTCTACAGCTCAGCCAGCAAACCTCAGTTCCACTGCTCATGACACCCTTTTAAATGAGTTTATCTTTTTGTTTCCCCTAGTTCTTTCTCACCTACTGAGAACAGTGCTATCAGTAGTTTTGATTATGCCCCATAAAAGCCCTTAGAAAGCAAAGCTGTTGTCTAGAACTGTCATGCTTATCAGAAGAAAAAATACACACACATTTTACACAATAAAACTTGATGAAAAATTTAAGAACTTGAGAGACATGGACTAAAAATGCTTACAATTGAATGTGGACAAAAATATTCTCAGTATCTATAACTCATGCACATTTTATATTAAACTGAATATCCTGTCACCTGCCATTGCTTTGCAGGTCAGACCATTCTGCAGACCCCTCCTGAGGGAGCATCTCTTTGTTTAGATTTTGTCTGTATTCTACCACATACCTATACCTGCACTGAAGTATTATACATTATACAATACTTGCCACACTCAGTTTCTTTAAACAAGTATTCACCTTCAATTTTCTTCACTCATTAAAGAAACAGTAAACCACTTAATACACCTTCCCACTAAAAACAGTTCCAAGTTACCATGGCCAAGTTTCTCTCTGACCAGAACAGTAACCTGAAAACAGAAATGCATGCACATATATATACACATGAATATATACATATAAAGAAGCGTCTGTGTGTGTGCATATGTATGTGTGTGAATGCTAAGAAAAGGTCTGGACAAGCCCGAGAACACAGGGACAGTAAGCAAGCACAGAGAATTTACTTACTAACGCTGTCCACTCGGACCTCTTTGGAAACCTGAAGGAGTCTCCGCTTTCCCCTCCTGCCAGTCAGGCGCCGCGTTGTGCCCCTAGTCCACACAGGCCCAGAAGGAACTGCAAAGAGAGAGAAGCACATGCCACATCAGGCAGTTCTGTTTTGATGGGATCCAGCTCCGCTGCCGCTAGCTCCTGGGGTGGTAACCCTGTTTCCAGAGCTGACTCCGACAAGAGTCATTCTTCCAAGGATTTTTTTTTTTTTTTTTAATGTGATTTTAAATACATAAATAAATAAATAAATGAAAAGGCTTCACGGGGCTCCTGCGCCTTAAAATTTGCGGGGGGGAGGGGGGCTGTGGGGGGGTGGCGGGGAGGTGAGAGGTAAGGTACCTGCAACTCTCTCCGATGAGGCCGGCAGAGAGAGAGGGAGGGAGGAAAAGAACGGCGAGAGGGAGGAGAGAGGGAGCGAGCGAGGGGTGGGGAGGAGGGGTGGGGGGTGTGCGTGTGTGCGTGTGTGTGTGTGTGTGTGTGTGTGCGGGGCGGGGGGCGCTGGAGCGGCTCTGGCTCTGGGTGCGAGCGCTGCCGTCTGCAGGCGGGCGGCGGGCGGCCGGCGGGGCTGCGAGCGCTCCCCGCGGGGCTCCGCGCAGCCCCCGCCGCCGCTCAGCCGCTCACCTGCGTTTCCTTAACGAGCCGCTTGATGGCCGGAGCGGCGGCAGCCCCCCGGCCCCGCCGCAACTTTCCGGCCGCGGAGCCGCGCCGCCCCCGCGGAACTGGGGATGGGGAGGTGCCGGCTGCGGGTGCCGCGCCGGCCGCTGCCCGCGGAACTTTCCGCCCGGCGGAGGGCGAGGGGCCGGGCCGGGGGACCGCCAGGGTGCGGCGGGGCTGCGCCGAGCCCCGCGTGTTCGCGCCGCAGCCGCGCAGGGAGCCCGGTGCCCGCTCCGCCACCCGCCTCCCCGGCGCTGCCTCCTCCCACCGCGCTCCCCGGCGTGTGCGACAGGGGCGAGCTGCTCGCTATTAATAATAATAAGCCTTCCTCTACCTTCATCTAGCCCCGAGAAAACAATTAATAATGCATTTAAATAATGCACCTTTAAAGCCATTGTCTGGCGATAATAAAATAATGTTACCACTACTTAAGAGAGAGCTGCTGTGGATGTGGTGGCGAGGCACGTTTTCCTATCATTCACACCCAAATGTGAGCACACATTCTGCTTCTGGTATCCGTAAGTCTCTTTCCCGTACCAGAGCAACTATCATTATCACCATCAAAGGGAAAGTCTCCAAAGCTGAGTGGAGACACCGAGTCCCCAGGTGGCTTCTGTGGCTGGGCTGCAAGGAGGGCACCCTCCCCCTCTCTTCCGTTCGCCTCAAACCAATCTCATCTCTTCTCTTTTGCTCGTACCGGTGGGTTAAACTCTGCGTTTGGCCCTTTTAGTGTTTTCCCTTCCGTTCCTCCCCTGACGGTAGTTTGTGTATTTTAAATAAAGATTTCATTCTGCCAACCCGCAGGAAGCTTTTAACAAGATGCAGCTGAGCGTGTCGATATCTTATATCTTTTTACTGCTGCTCCGGCGTGTACATCAACTCCAAATTCCTTTCTTTTCTTCTCCGCCTGATACTGTAGCATCTGAGACGGCGGTGGCGACAGAAGCGGAGCGCTGCTCCCGAGGGGGCACTTTTACTTTGCCCTCAAAGTATCTCCCAGCAATGAGACCCCTTGGTGCCGCCTCCCCTCCCTCCTCTCCCCCTCGCCCCCCCTCCCCGCTCCCGCTTCTTCACAGCAGAATGCTGGGGTGAATGCTGTAAGGTTTCCAGTTCCACTGATAACACTACACGGTCTGAGAACAGACGGGGCTGGGGGAGGGGATTTTCGTTTTAGTTAAGGATACAGTTTTGTGTTTGCGCTATTTTTAATTAAGATTTTTCCAGAAATAGATCCCATCGAGATTTAATTTGCAAAGGTATTTCTAACTCCGATCAACACTGTCTTCCAAGAGGAACATTTTCAATCTTTTGCCTCCCCATAACAATACGCAAGTGTTTTTCACAAACCTCAAAAACCTATATGATAAAAAAAAAAAAAAAAAAGGCTTTTGTTGTTGGGGTACTGTGGAGTTTGATTGGAGGTATTTTAGTGCTTTTGGGTTTGAGTTGTTTATTTGTTGGTTGGTTGTTTTTTAATTTTCACTTCATCTGCATTAAAGTTAAACTTTGTTCAATATGCCGGGCTACCTCCTATTGATTTCTGGGGTTTGAGAAACGCTTTCCCCTTCCTCCCTCCCCCATCCTCTGGGGATTTGTTTGAATGAAGGTGATTTCTTTCCGTGATAGGCGTTTCCCAACACTTAGATGTGCAGTTCTATCTTGCTGGTCCCCTGCTACTCCACAGATGCTGAGCCGTAAGCACTTCCTCGTGCTGTGGCACCAGGTTAAGGCTGAGGAGCGGCACCGCACGGGCCTAAACCCCTCCAAAAGCTGCGCGCAGCCTCCGGGGAAGGCCGCGGGGCGAAGCATCCCTGCCGGCCGCGGGGCGAAGCATCCCTGCCGGCCGCGGGGCGAAGCATCCCTGCCGGGCGCGGGGCGGGCGGGGCGGGCGGGGCTCGCCCCGCGGTCGCCGCACGGCAGCAGGTCCGGCGGAGCACTCCACACGCACAGCCCGAAAAAGGGCCAGAGGAGGATCTTTCCCGTCCTGGAGGTGGCAGAGGGCGCGCCATCCTCCTGCGGATATGATTTCATCTCCGAGGTTCAACCTGCGCAAACTAGAGAGCTACCTTTAAAAGAGTGTAGGCGACGAAGAACACCTGGTACTGACTATTGCCGGCTTTTCTCTAAGCTCCACTTCAACTCAATTTGACCTAGTTTGAAGCAAGAAGGTTCAGAGTTTGGGGGGAGGAGTGGGAAGGACAATAAAAGAAAAACAGGAAAAAATCTCCCTCCGCATTCTTCCTCCCAGTGGTGTTTTACCTTTTGGTAGATCACTTGTGAGTAGTACTTTAATTTGCAATTAAATATGACATTGCTAATTATTTTAGAACTGATTTTACCTATACAGTAAAATACTGCTAAATGCAGTAGAAAATTAGGAACTCCAAGATCTTTACAGTCTGTATAAATATGGAATTATACATCTTCCATTCTTATGCTTGTTTCAATCTTCAGTCCTTTCCCTTATATTTTTTTCTTAGTTACGTGTTTCTGATTTACTATATCCTATTCCTGCATTTCACTGGACATTTCTACCAGGAGTAATAAAGTGGTATATATTATATTTCATGAGTACCAAAGTTTTGTTCAGTATTGTATCTTAAAGAGGTTGCTTCATGGTAATTAACAGTGAAGTCCAAATGAACCACCTATTCTGCATCCTGAGCATTACTCTATGTTTCCAAACATTGTGAAAGGCAGATGTAAATTTAACATTAAAAAGTATTGCATAGTTGGTCACAAGAGCAACTGGAAGAAAAATCATGGGAAGGCAAAACCACACAGAAATAAACTAGCAATAATAATAAAATGTTCCAAATATTAATCTAGAAGTGTATCAGAATTGAGAAAATCTCCAAGCTGCAGTGCCTGCCAGAATTTATGACTTCTGTTATTTGAAATAACTGACATTTAACAGCGACAGTGCTGCACTCTACCCAGCTAGTAGAGTAGGAAAGGTGGTTTGTGTATCTGCTTTTTTTTTTAGAATTTAGTTGTAGTAGTAAATATTCAGTTTTGTACATCAACTGCACTTCTTTTGGGGCATAATCAATTTTATTTTTGCAATCCATGCATGAAAACTATGGCTGAGGTTGACCATTTAAGGAAAATGATAACGAAGCTTGAGCAAAAGGAAATGCAAAGCTGACAGTTTAAAGATGCAAAATACTGTCATATTTTACTTTCACCTTTTGGTCTCTGTGGGGACACATGCTTCCTTTTTTTTCAGCCAACTTCAATCCTCAGACCTTTTTGCTTTTTGTGAACTATAATCTCTAAAGAAAAGCAGTAGGCATTATGACATGTAGCATATTTATAACCACAATGAACAGAAAGAGGTTGAATTGTTCCATCCCAAAATAAAAGTTATGAGATAAGAGGAGTAGGAAATACACAGGAAAATATATAGCAAGAAATGCTTTGTGAAATTGCTCTTGATAATTTTTTTCTGGGACAGTCTAACTTCTCCTGCAGGAAACTGAGAAGATGACTCAGCGATTTGAAACCACCTGGAAGGCAAAAAGGACCATTCCTGCAAAGACCATGTGCCTGCAAGCAGCTCTGAAAACCTGGTATCCTCACATGATTCATCTGTGTGACCCGGGTTTGTCAATACAGTTCTTCATAGCTGTTTTTTCCTTGCTTATACTGGTCAGACCTAAATACTTTATTCTGAGAATCAAAACACTAAATTAAGAAGTTACACATTGTTAGTGTTAATATACTTTCACAATAACCATGTTTCAAGGGGAACTGGAAAAGATGATGCATATTTTTTCTCATAAAACAGAATTGCCCATTGTTCAAAGTCTGTATCTGTATGCTACACATATTCCAAATGTGCATATGATGAGAGAAATTATGAAAGATTTGTGTTCATATATGTATGTGAACTAGCTTTCTTACAAAATAACAGAAATTTATCTTTAAGGGGGTGATTCTTACCATTGGATTGCAAGGTTCCTAAAAATGTGTTTGCTGATATAATCTTTCATTGTCACGTTGCTGAAATGAAGTTTTTCTGCATAAAAAAAAGGCTAGTTATGCACCCATGTTTGACTAAACACCCTATGGGTGATAATGGGAACTTTTTCTAGGAACTAATGCTGCTCATGAAGCATAACAGAAGATATTAATGAGGAGAAAAGAATTTATTTCAGGACAGTAATATTTATTAACTATGTTCATCTATAGAAAAACCACCTTAACTCCAAATATACTTACTTTAATTTAATTACTTTTATTTACTTTAAAATTATTTGGTAATTATACTTGTATTTGATAGTATTTTTGTTAAAAATCTTTAAAAAGAAAAGTAAAATTTTGAACGTAAAATGTCATATGGTATGCTCTTAACTGTCTTTTCCCTTTTGATCAAGTGACTAAATGGGTCTATGTATCCCCATTATGAAGAAAGTATTCTTTCCTGTATGATTGAGTGCTGTGTTATTTTTTTATTATTCCTAACCTTTTATGAGTTAGCAGTTTCACATTGCACAAAAAAAATTGCATCTATTTTTAATAATATGAGATGGTAAGCTTGATAATTTAAACTGTAGAGCCTGGGTCAGAGCATTTTGATCTGGCAATCTCAAATTATTGTGCCTCCTCTTTGTAAAACTCTATGTTTGAACACACAGAACTGTTGTCCTTTGTTATTTCTGTAGAGTAACAATCACCCACAAAAAAAAACTTCAGGGCAATTCTATGGAACATGCTTGCCTCTGGCTAGGCCCCTGCTTAATTTTAACCAAGGA